AGTCACTGAATGATTGATTCTTTGAGGGTAGGACCCATGTCTAATTTATCTTTGTACTCCTTATGTGCTAACAGAGACATAATAACAATTCAATAAAAATGTATGTATGTATCAATGTATGAATAGATAGATGGGTAGAATCTGTCTGTATCTACTCTCCATTCTCCGGCTCCTCTGAAACATAGACCCTTGGTCTAATTACCCCTCCTTCAGGGCATTTGAGTGTCCTGAATACAAGGCTTAAACCATGGCAGGTTGAAGACGCCAAAAAAATTTCAACAAAATTGGAGAACTTAGCAGTGACCTATGTTTTCAGGTCGGAACGATTTTTCCATTTTTTGCCCTCTTCTCAGTTGCTATAACAGGCTTTTGAACAACAGATGTCATTTTTCCTGTGCCTTCCACTTTCTTACTCTAACTCTCAGCTTTCTTTGAGAGCTGATAGGAGACACAGGTTCTCTTAGTCCTCAGAATGGCAAGTGATGAAACCTACCTCTGGAACCTGGTTCAGGGAGTGCACTTGGATGTCATACAGGGTCTTCTGGACAGAGGGTGAGTACTCGCCTTTGTCGAAAGGTCCAGCAAATTTCTCCAGGATGATGTCCCGAACAGTATCCCTGAAACACAGAAAAGAAAACTGAGAACTCTCATAGGGTGACCTTTTAGGAATGCATTATAAAGCTAAGAAACAATGACCCTCTGTACCCCAGAAAACAACTTCATTGCTGGTCTTAGAGGAGAGTAATATTCTGAAAGTTCAAAAAAAAATTGCTGAATAATCTCATTTCCCAATTCCCTGCACACACACACACACACACACACACACACACACACCATCCAACAAACATATGGAATAACACTAGGCTGTTTTCATAATCTGGCACCAGGGTCCAGTGGGCACCACAGGAAAAATCTCCCTCTATGTTTTGTCTGCCTGTGGAAAGACTCCCATGCTCAGTTTGACTGTTCCTTGAATTATTACAGTTTTAGGGGTTTAGGCTCTGTGCTAAGCATTTTATGTGATTACTTCATTGAATTCTTTCAATATACCTGAGGCAGGAACTATTATTATACCCAATCTAGAGATGAAGAAGCTGAGTTTTAAAGTTAAGTGATCCCTCCCTTCAGTGGAAGGCCCAGTTAGTACCCTGACTCTGGCATGCACAAGTTTGTGCTCTTTCCAATATAAATACATCAGGCTGTTGCCTGTGGGGAATACCTGAAATAACAAAAGAAGACTGAGGTGAGGGTTTCTCTAAGCATTTCCAAACCTTCACATAATAAAAGGAGTAGAGCAAAACAATACTGGTGGGAGGAAGCAACCAATGGGCAGATTACAGCTCCTCACAGAGTTAGAAGTTTCTCATAATTAGAGCTTCAGCAAAATAATGGGATACCTGGTAATGGGATCCCAGGCAAACTCTGCAAGTTCAGAAGCCTAATTACTGCTCATCGAGGATTTTATAATAACCATACCTTTATATTGTTAAGGCATTTATCATTTATAAAGTTCTTCTGTGACTATCACCTCATTTTGAGTTTAGCCTAAGGTGATCGACTGTCCAGTTTTCCTGGGGTCAAGGGTGGCCTGGGACATGGGACTTTCAGTGTTAAAGTCAGGAAAGTCCTTGGCAAAGTGGGACAAGTTGGTCACCTTCGTTTAGCCCTTTCTGCATCTAATAGGAGGTGGCAAGGCCAAATATCCTCATTCTAACTTGACACAGTGGTTTTTAACATGTGACCTCTGGTCCAGCAGCACAGTATCTCCTGGGAGTTTGTCAGAAATGCAAGTTCTTGGGCCCTGGCCCAGACATACAGAATCAGAGCCTCTAGGGGTGACCCAGTGGTCTGTGTCTAACAAGCCCTCCAGATGATTGTGACACACAGTCACGTTTAAGAACTACTGACTTAGTCACTTAAAAAACAGAGGGTCAGGGAAATTGGGTGGTGAACGCAGGTCATTCAGCTTAATGCAAATGAGATCCAAGTGTGGATTCACTGATTCAAATGAAAACCAATGTCTTCCTGTTAATCCAAGAGAAGGGATTTTGAACAGTCGGGAGTCTGAACTGAAGAGCTCTAAGCCTCCCTTTCAGACCACGCCATGAGTTCCAAGCCCCTGGGAAGGGCAGGTGCCCTGCAGCACGTGCTCATACCAGGTAGCCTCAAAGTCCACGTTTCTGTGCTGGTGGTAGCGCCACTTGCAGTATACTTGAGTGGCAAAGCACCTGTCCTTCACTTCTGGGAGCGTGGTAAATGGTGCCTTCAGGAACCCTTCAAATCCGGACTGTGTAGTTTTTAAGACCTTGAGGTCTTTGATTCCAGAATGAATGACTGGAGGTCCTGCTTTAAGTGAAAAGGTAAGAGGAGATGAGAGCCATGAACAAAATAGTGCCTTTTACTGATACCCAGCTGTGAGGACCCTGGTTGTCAAAACAAGGCACACCATGTTTGTATAGTGAATTACCCCAAGGCCCACATTTTCTGTCTCCCTGTATCCTCTGACGTCCAAGTGATGAGGCTGGTGCCTTTCCCTCTGTTTGGATTCCATGACTCCCTGCTCTCTCCTGCCCTGGGAGGACTGAAGACCAAAGACTAAACCTCCAGGTGGTGATGAACCCGCAGAAATGGGCATCTTCCTCTCTACTCCATGTAGGGGTGCTTCTAGGTCAACTACCTTCCATGTCCTGAGCTCCATCTCCTTCAAGGTCAACTACCTTCCATGTCCTGAGCTCCATCTCCTTCAACAGACAGTCACAACAAAGTGGGTTCACAAGCTCCTCCAGAGCAGTTCTTCTGTCTGATCCCTTTCCGGGGCGGGGAGGGGAGTCATATTGCTCGTCCACATAGGCTGATGGCTTCGATTACTAGACCCTCAGTTCCTTTCTGGTTATGAGCTCAGAAAAATGAGACAGCTTCATAAGGATAGCAGCATGGGCCTGGCTGAGCCTATACAGAGACTGGGAAGGGGAGGCCAGTGACCCATATGGCATAGATCGGCCTAAGTGGATACCCAGATAGACTTCTGGTTTTGGCTGAAGGAGAAGGCAAAAAGTCAGCTCGTGGTGATCTGGAGGGGAGAGGGCAGAGTTGGAAACAACGGTGGGGTGATATGCTCTCCTGCAGTCCCTGACGGCACCTCATAAGATGAAGGGGGAGGTGGAGGGGTCATAGTCATAATCATTATAAGCTGTTTACTTGTGTGCCTTGAGCCAGTACTAGCTTAAGTTCCAGGTGACAGGTGGGGCACAGAGTTAGTGAGGGGGAAATTTTCTCTTTTTCTATGTGAAATACACTGTAGCTCCAGCAGTCTGCTAAAGCCTGAAGAGAACACGGCACCAGGTGGCACACTGGGAATCCCCAGGGCACAGTGCTCTGCAGACAGCATCGTTTTCTCCAAGGAACTGTGGCAACTGGCACAGAAAATGCTGAGCAGAGCCACTGCAAAATTCTCCCTGAGTACATGTGACACAGTCCTCCCAGTTATGAGCAATTGGGAGACTTTGGCTGGAAAGGTCTAGAAGTTTTATAATGACAGACCTACAAGGATAGGAAGATTCAGGAATTAGCATCACCATGTCCACGTTTACATGCAGGCTGGTGAAGCTGGATACTCAGAGATCACTTGGGTACAAACCCCTGAGAGTACAGTGCCATGACCAGACCTCTCCTCTAAGGTCACCTCTTGTCAGTTTCAAAGTCAGTCCTAGTATCTATTCTTCTTGGCCTGTTTAGTATATAAATTAAGGGCCAAAGGTGTCAGGCATCACTATACTGTTCAGGGTCTTAGTTGAAGAATAAGAATATAACCCATGACCCTCAGATAAAATCCAGGCAGCTCCTAGTAATCCAGTGGTTTACATCCCATATGGTTTCACCTGTTGCTATTAGCTCAGGAGCTGTGGACTTTCAGAAGGAGGTAAAGAATGACTATATTTTGATATTTTCCTAGCCACATGCATGCACCTATCAGACAAAGCAATGGCCACTGGTTAGTGGCAGATCTGATGACTAAATATGTGCTGATAAAACAATGTGTTCTGGCCAGTGTGTTCAAGGATAATGTAGTAAAACTAAAAATTGTATTTGTCCAGCATTCTGAAGTTCTCAACTGGAAGCTTTATCTGATGAAGAATCAAGAGAAAGATACCAGCAATGCCTTGATGCTTTAAGTTGGCTGTCTTTATCAGATTCCAGATGTAAACAAGACATGGTTCTGCAAAATCAGCATTTCTAAGTGAAGTATAGAGCTGATCTAAGTGAGTCTAAGTCTTAAGTCTGAGAGAATTTCAGAAGCAATCAATAAGTTTCTGTTGAATGAATGAGTGAGTGCAGAACTGATTCACATTAAGAAATAAGTTTCTCACAACTTAGTTTCTTTTTCTTCTGGGCAGTTATACTACATTGGTGTAGGATTCCATGCTTTTCTTCCTTCTTTTTGAATCACTCCCCATCCGCATAATGTTTTCTCTGTCCTTTAACTCTGTCTCCCTCTTTCTTTACAATAAGGACCAGGAGACAAGATTGCTACCTCCCCTTCCACAGCGTGCTTTGAGGGCTTCTGACAGCCCCTAGCCTGAAAAATACCATTTCCACTGGTCTGAAATGGAAATTGAAGCATCACTTTTAGAAGTGACCCCTACTTGTTTTGAGAACTTTTTATTCCTTAAAAATTTCCTATTGAAATACAATGACTTCTTAAATGAGTGATTCCTTAAGCCTTTATAAATATCATAATTTACTTCAATAGTAATTCTTGCTAGAAAAAAAACTATAGAAATGAAACAGGTTTGCAATCAGGAATAGGGTTAGAACAGGCAGTGGGAACCCCTGAAGGAGTAACAAGAAAAGGTGAAGGAGAACCAAGGCAAACTTCACCTGTTTGATCTTTCCTATACAGCTGGCCTTGATTGTCAGCATCCATGCATGCTAATAAGACTCCGGATCTCCCAATGGTCTTAGTCATAAAAGGGTTCCTGGATGCAGTGTTACACAGTGGTTGAGTTCTTAGTTTTGGGAATCAGATTACTGAATTCAAATCTCAGCAGTCTCTATGCCTTTCCTCCCCTATTTATGAGCACTGTTCCACTGAAAAAAATTATTTAACCTCTCTCTACCTTGAATTTCTCATCTGTTAAGTGCAGATGATAATCATACTTATTTCCTTAAGTTGATACATGTCTAAGATAATACCCATAGAGGAATTTAGTAGAATGGCTGCCCCATAGAAATTGCTCCATAAAAGTTATTATGATCTTGCCATAATTACCTTTTCTTATCAACTTCAGCTACCTGTAAATATTCCCCATGTTTTGCAAGGGGCTCACTGGTTCTGAAAACTACTTCTGATGTGTGTGTCATCCTTACACATCTCCAGTCCAAGGATGAGATTTATTGATCTTTGGGGAGTGTCAGTCCTGCCAGACAGCTCTGTAATGATCTACTTTCTTTCTAGAATTTGAAAATGGAGAAAGCAGTTGCGTTTTTCTAATGTGTTTTGGCCGCAGTTTCACACAGAATAAAATGTCTCATGTTCCCAAAGACAATTAACTATTGCCACAGTTTGGGCAGAAGGCAAACCATCTACTCTGAATAGCTCATCATCCTAAGAACAACAAGAAAACTATTCTCTTTGAGCGTGAATGCTTTTTTCCCCTTGGCATACATTAGACACTGCATGAAATCAGAGAGCTTATTTTATCTTCTCTACTGGCAGTGCCCCAGCTTTCTGAACAGGGGTAAAAACCTGAGCTTTTCAAATTCATAGGCCCATCAATTAAAAATATGATACCTTAAGCACCCTAAAAAAGACTCCAATTTAGACTAACAAGAAGTAATTCAACCAAAAAGACCATCCTTTTCTACATACTTCCCATGAAACCAATTAATTCTTTTAATTTCCTTTCTGCCATGGTTATGGAGTAATGCAAAGGCAAGATTTTCACATTTTACTTTGCTGGAACATAATATTTTCTAGTTTTTAGTGTCCTCCTACACACTTACCAGACTGTGGTTTATCTCTCAGAGAAGCATACATCCTACCCTTTCACTCTCTAAGAAAGAAACTCACCGCAAATTAATAGAAAATAAGCCCAGTTCCTTACCTACACATCAGGTGTCACAAAGCACAAAGCTTTACTGAGCCAAGAAAAGAGTCCTGTCATGAAAAGGATAATTGCTTCTATGTTTAACACCTCCAAAAAGGACATAAATAGCTAAAAGGAGGATATTTTAAAACTATATTAAATCATTCTAGTAGAAAACCTCAAACTTGTAAAGTGCTAGAGAAAGTGAAGATCAATTAAACTTCATTTGCCTTTGAGAGTCCATTTAGCTCGTGCCGAGAGAGTGAAAGCTCCATCGGTGTAATTCTGGATGGGGAGAGATGACGTCATCCAGACGGAAGGAAGTTCAGTGGGCTTTTGCACAATGAGGTGATGAGCAAGATGATTTTAAAAGACCCTGAGTTTGCTAAGAACTCTTGGAACTGAAGAGAGCTTCAGTCTTGATATAGAAGAACTGAGACAGACTTCTTGGCAGTGGCTATCTCTGTCTTAGGTCTCCCACTTACTTCCCCATCTCCCTTCTACCATCTGCCCAGCTCGACACCTCTTAAATCTGTTCTCCTCCAATTCCATTTCATCATTCATCATCAGGACTTCAATTTCATTATCTCCCTTCCTTAAAACCCTTCTCCTACCCCAACTAGTTTCCATGCCAATAGATTTTCTTTCACTATCAGAAGACAGTATCTTAGTTGAAAGTTTTATCTCCCATCCATACACTTAGGTGTGCTTTAGCTGAATTTTTAAAACTAGTGTCAGATTGGGAGAAATTTGGTTCTTCAATTATTGTGAGTTATAGTTCAAATAGTGCAGAGGGTTGGGGGCCAAATTAGTGACTCAGCCATCCCAGTGACTCCAAGACTTGGTTAAGCTTGTAGTTCACAGAGACACATGAGATCTCTCTTCTGGATTCTCCCATGGAACCAGCAGACTTTGAAATAGATAAAAGCTTTGAAATAGATGTAGTTTTCAAAGATCCAACTAGGAAACAGTGTCATGGGAGTTTTACAATAATTCTCAGGGTCTAAAATGTACTTGAAATTCAATAGGCTTCCTGTAAGTGTTCGTTCAGTTGATAAGAGTGAATCCAGGCCACCAGGAGAAATCCAATTACATGTCCTGCTGGGCAATGTGCCTTTTGGGAGAAGTATGGCTGAATATGTGATTAAGTGCATGTGTTTGAGGGGGTAGAATCCCACCAACCCAGCTAGCCCCCAACCAAAAGCCCTACTTAGAGATTTGAAACAACAGTCTGCCATGTGAACTGGGATGTGTATGTGCATGTGAGTGTGTGAAAGCGAGATAATGACCATTTTCTTCATTTAAGCCTATGCAAGGGCATTTCTTATGACAGTGATTGTATATTGACTCACTTCACAATATATGTAGTAATAGCTCTTGGATATTAAGCAAATTAAGAAGAAACTTTACTACCTGAAGAGCACAGATCCTTATTCTCCAAAAAGGGAAAGAGGACAAATGTCACCTTCATATATACAACACTGGAAGACAACACACATACACACTGCATATTTTAAGGCAACAGATTCCTCTTCCCTGCCAGCCGTGTGTGATATTGGAGGAGCACTGGACTCTAGATGAGTTAAGCAGAAGCCTTTGGGAACATGGCCACAGGTACCACAGTACCCTGAAGACTTGCAATGTTCTGCAGAGAGAAAAAGAGTTGGCCTGCTTATGGTGACTAGTTTCTCCACTCTGCAGCAGCCAGATGACTGAATTCAAGCTGATGATAGCTCCTGGTAATTCCTGGAAAGAACAAGGATGGGAGGGCAGCCTGTTTCCTTCTTCTGATCCGCAGAGCCCTGTAATTAGACTCTCCACTTCCACCTCCAGGGCTCTGCTAAGCTATTCTTGTGGAAGCAACTAGTCACCTATTTGTTAAACTGTACACTTTCTCTTTAGTCTTCTTTTAACCCAAATGTTTTAACTTTCCTGTGGCAGACTGCTAGCTGTTCACTAACTATTTCATCTTCTTCCTGGGTACCCAGCTAGACTACATTTCCCAGCTTCCACTGCAGTTGGACATGGCTGTGTGATTGGGTTCTCTCCAGGAGAGGTGCTGTGTGCTCCTTTCAAGGCTGGGTGTTATGCCTGAGGGGTCTCTGTCTCCTCCTTTTGCCCCTCCAAGCTCTTTCCTCCTCTGGTTGTCCAGTAAGGGGATCTACTCTCACGGTGACCCCAAAAAGTAAGGATTAAGAATATATGGTTGCATCAACCTGGGTTGCTGAATGACTTCCTGGAGCAGAGCATCCCAATGTCCCCTTCCCCAGCCCCCTACACTGAACTAGATTTTTACAAAGGCAGTGAACTTCTTGAGTGGAGCCACTACATATGAGCCTATTTGTTATGCATCTTTTTGCTCCAATTAACTCCCTCATTTCTTGAAATGTATTTTTCTTTTGCTTCCATGACACCACTCTCTCTCTCCCCAGTTCTCCTTCTATCTCCCTTACTGTTCTTCTGTCTTATGCTTCGAACAGCCCAACCCATAAACTGGGGAGTTTTCCCTGGGCCTGCTCATCTTTCCTCTTACTTCATATGTGTTTCTGGAATGGCTCCTTCCTCTCAACAGCTTCACCTACTCTCAGTTTATGCCAAATCTATCTCCATCCCTTATTCCCAAAATCACCAGCTTTTCCCAGCTTCATTGCACTATTCTCCTTAGTCAATTCCCCCAAGCTCCTGACTTTAGAGTAACTTTAACCCCTTCTATTCTCTTACCTCCCTTCTCTACCCAACTGCTCAGATCTACTAACTGCACTTCAGAAATGCCTCACATCATGTCCCTCCCCACCTCTGCAGTCTTTCCATCCCTACTTCTACTTTCTTAGCTCAGATTCCATCATGTCTTCAATCGCTGCAACAAGTTTCCAAATGTCTCACTATTACCTGTTTCTCTGTCAGTTCACCATAATCCTGATCAGAATTATGAACAGTAAACACACATATGCACACTTAAAGACCTCCTCTGGACCTCTACTGTAAATCCTTTATATTAATATTTATCACTTTTAATTCTCTAGATTATTGAGGTGGTCACTGTTATCCTCATCTTACAAATGAAAAACCACTGAAGTAGTATAAGAAATGCTCTTACCGTCACAAAGTTATCAAGTAGTGGAATCAAGTTCAAATACAGTGTAGTCTGATTCAAGACCTATGGGCTCACCCACCATGCAAAACTGCGTCCAAGTTACACCAATCTTGTTAGTATGGTGCACAAGGCCCTTCAAACTCCAGCCCAAGCCAACCTCTTCATGTTCGTCTTCATCTCTGAGCCTTCCATTCTAAGAACTAGACTCTTCAAACTTGCTACCATTTCTTCAAATGCTTTGCCTTTTCAACGATAAAATTACTGGCCCCAAATGGTGGTCAGCATAAGGCAAATGCTCAAAATGTTTTAGTGTCCCCCTCCCACTCCTTCATGACCCCTACCCATGCACATGCTGTTTCTTCTACCTGTAACTTCCTTTACCTTTTCTATGCCTGGGGCATTCTGAATCATTAAAAAAAAAAAATTAATCAGTATTTCCTCCTCCATAGTCAAGGCTTCCTGACTGTAGGTAAAGTAAGTTTTCTGTACTTCTTTGTTTCCATAGCATGGCTTCAATTCCTTCACTGTGTTCTTTAGGCCCTCATATTGTAATAAATCTTTTTATAAGTTTATCTCCTATTATTCATCTACTATAAACTCACTAGGGTCAGGGAAAGTCTTATTTACCTCTGAATCTATAGTCACTGTTTTACATAAGAAGTCTTCAAATTCTAATTGCTGAATGAATAGTATTCGAATGAATGACATAAGCATATTTCATACATGCTCTCATTTTCTAAATTAGCTCTCCTGAAATCTAATTCTAGCCCTGCCATCATATTATATACTTGAAAGTGGAATGAGGAATATGCCAAGTATTGCAAAAATTATTAAAAAATGGTTTAGAGCTATGCTAATCAACATGGTAGCTGCAAGCCACATATGGCTATTAAGCACTTGGAATATAGTAAATGTGAATTGAGATGTCCTATAAATATAAAATATCGTCAGGATTTCAAAGATAATTTTTATAAAAGAAAGTAAAATATTTCATGAACACTCTATATTTATTACATACTTAAGTGCTATTTTAGGTGTATTGGATTAAATCAAACATATTATTAAAATTAATCTTTTTGCTTTTCCAATATTACTAGAAAATGTTTAAATTACACACATAGCTTGCATTATATTACTGTTGCCCAGAGACAGCTTAGACTTTATAATTTTATGAGGGTAGCTGGTGTGGTTTGGGTCGGAAAACACTGGCCTGGGAAGTAAGGATACCTTTTCTTTCTCTTTCTCTCCCAAAACCACATACACACAGTAAGGAAAGAAGGAATGAAGGAGGGAATGAAGGAAGGAAGGGAAAGAAGTTACACTTTAATAACCCAGTCAGCAAGTTAATATAACACATGACTACATACTTGCAAGATTAAAAAATCATTATCTCTTCAACTTCATCCAATAACCTTGTTATTCAGTGCCCTTTATATGATAATAATTTCATAACTGTTGATCAAACACTGAGAAGGCCCTGATTGTATCTAGAATTTAATACAGATAGTGAAAAACATTAAATGATAGCTAATATACTAGAACTTTCTAAGGGAAGGTATTATCCAATAAACACAGAATGAGAAGGGGTTTATTTTTATTAACCATCGAACATTTCTCACATTTATGAAATGTCACCTCAAATTCTTGGCAGAAAGCCAGAGAAGAAAGAGAAGGAGATACAGAAAAAGGGGGGAAAAAAAAGAAAAAAGGGGAAGAGGACAGAAGAGGAAAAGAGAGTAGAGGAAAAGAAAGAAAGGACAATAGAAAAGGAAAAAAGTTCACAGTCCACACCCTCAGTTTATTTTTTATTAGGATAGAGACTTTTCTACCACATTTGGCTCCAAAGTTCTTAGAGGTCTTCTGGTCTACTTTTTAGCCAATTGTTGAACTGTGCTCTGATAACCTCAACAAATCAATGGAAGACAAGCTTTGGGAATTTTAGTATTTGCTAAGTTCAATCTTCAGGTCTGTGTTGTAATTATGTTCCACTGTTACTTTTTAAATTTCTTGGTGAATAGAATTATATAGCTGTCTTTGCTATTTTAAATGAGGTTCATTTTATAGTAATTATAAAATTATCAGTGTTTATTATGCAAATAAAACTTTAGGAAAACTAGATTGTTATTTATTAGATATTTCTTTCAAAGATTATTATAATTATAGGATGGTATGGAACAAAAAATACTGGTAAAAAATTCAGAGATTTGGTTTTTGTCAACCCAGGGCTTTTTTCCTTCCCTACCTCAAAATTGGGTAATAAAAATAATCTACCCTGCTCAATTCCCAGATTTGTCACAAAAGGTATTATTTCATTTTTTTATTTTTAAGATTAAAAAGTAGGTAGCTTGTTAATGTAGCCTGAAGCCACAATGCTCATTTCCATCTCAGATTTAAAAGCCTTCAGAATTTTCTACAGATTTGTTCAGTGTTAATAAAGAGTTGTTTGGAAGGAAAAAAAACTTAAATTGCTATTGCAGAATGAAAGCATGACAAATATTTTCTCACCACTCCTCATCTGTTCAACTTCACAGAAGTGCGTTCCAGTGGGAGTGTGAATAAATGCATGGATGTGCTTAGCTCCATTCTGAAAATTAGAAAATAAAATTGTTTCAAGTAAAATTTCAGAGTATGTAATAAAGCCAATTTCTTTAATTAAACTGAGAACACAAATAAGTGAGGTAACCTTTTCAAAACGCTTCCAAGGGACTTCTTCCACATAGACTTGCGCTCGGATGACATGGTAAAAAGAAGAAAGGAAATACTCACAGATATTTACAGCAAAAGTTTCTATGTTTTTGATCTGTAAAAAGAAAGAAAATGCTAGTAATCAGATACACTTGCCCCATTTAAACATAATTTTTAAATGCCCATGGAGCTCTTGTTCCTGATCAAGTGCATTTTTAGAATCAGTGAAAGAATTAGAAAGAATCTTCAGAGTTGATTTGGTCCTTATCTCCAAATTTTCACCAGGGCTCCTAAGGGTAATTAATAGATCACCATTACCAGGTGACACTGTTTTTAAAAAAAGTCTGTTCTCCAGGAGAAGATCTGTCAATCAATGGATAAGCAAAAAGTAACTTAACATTCAAATTTTCCTCACAAAGAGCTCAGTCGTCACCTACAACAACTACAGTAATATAGTATACTCCAAAGTACTCTGGTTTCTTCATGAGCTTGGCAAATGGGCCACCTAGTTTGCCAATGAAAAAAGTAATGAAGGGCCACTTCAGCCTCCGTGCCTTGCAAGCAGACCTTTTATTGACCACTGCTGGCTCACTAGCCCCATAAAATAGCTCCCTACTTCCACAGAAATTCTTCATGTTAATCTCTAGACAATGTTTTATGGTCCTAGCACAGTCTACAGATTAGTATAGCTTTGCCTGCTGTGGACCATTTGTACAGGATTCCTCAGGATAGTTCTGTTTCATACCTATTGTTCCAAAATAATTATTAATAGCATCCTATTTCACTCTCAAAAGTGTTCTGGCTTGGAAACTAAAAACACTAACTCAAAAAGATATGTGCACCCCATGTTTATTGCAGCATGATTTACAATAGCCAAGGTATGGAAACAACCTAAGTGTCCTTTGATGGGAGAATGTATAAAGAAAATAATATTCCACATATAATGGAATATTATTCAGCCATAAAAAAGAATGAAATCTTGCTTCTGCAATAACATGGAAGGACCTTGAGGACACTAAGTAAAATAAATCAGAGAAAGACAAATATCATATGCTCATTCCCACCTCACATTTAAAAGCCTTCAAAGTTCTTTCATACATCTCACAAACACCATATGACACACATATGGCTCATGCAGAGTCAAAAACAAAACAAAACAAAAATCAAACAAACAAAACATCAAGCTTATAGATACACAGAACAGACTGGTGGTCACCAGAGGCAAGGGGTGGGGAATGAGTGAAATGGGTAAAGGAAATCAAAAGGTGCAAACTTCCTTTGAATAAATAAATCCTGGGAATGGAATATACAGCCTGGGAACTATGGTTAATAATACTGTACTGCATATCTGAAAGTGGCTGAGAGAAAAAACCTTAAGTTCTCATCACAAGAAAAAAACTGCTGTAACTATGTATGGTGATGGATATTAACTAGACTTACTGTAGTGATAATTTTGCAACATATGAAATATCAAATCATTATGTTGTACACCTGAAATTAATATAATGCTGTATGTTAATTATATCTCAATTAAAAAATTAAATACAAGAAAAGGAAATGTCCTGGTTTGGGTAGGAAATTATGTGGTCATTCTCTGTCTTATGAATGATTTGAATTGTTAACATCCAGGTCCATTCCTTCACTTTTCTGCACATCTCACACAGTATAGGAAATAAAAGAATCTGTTACCTGACCCTCTTCTATAGTGCAGTACAGAAGCCTATTTTTAATTTATTTTTTAAGAGAGAAATGCCTTTTTCCATAGCCCTGTCTATGTTTGCTGGGCTATTCTGATTAGCAAGAGAAAGGTTTGGGTGGAGATAGGCCCTGCAGAAATTGTATTTCCATTAGTCTGTTCATTTCATGCATTCTGGAGGTGGATAGCATGCAAAAACAGGAGAAAAGAAGCTTTCCTGGTCTGCATTTCCTGTTAGACTTCTTAAAAAATAAGAAAATTATCCTGGATTGCCCCAGAAATCTGCTGATGGTTCAGCACAGCTTCATTCACACTTAAAGCAACTGAAGTGGAAGTGTGAGAATATTGATTCCATCAGTTCTAAGACCTTTTGAAGAGTACCATATATGGATACTAAGTGTTTTCGGAGTTGGGAACATCAAAAGTTGGACAAATAGAGTTCAAACTGTATCTTATACTCAAGATTTTCTTCTACACTAACACCATGAAGAGAAATGGTACTTTCGTCTATAAATGCATACCACTCTAAGAAAAAAACATAAATAAGGGGACTCAAAGAAATGCACAACAAATGTGTAAAATTCTACTCTGAAATCCTCTAAAGGCTTTGATTTGCCAATGATCTTAATTACGAGGTAACATGGAAATTTATTGAATAGGCTTCTCTACCTAAAAGATGCAGTGAGTTGAGAACCCAGAAAAGATAACAAGAGGTGAGTGAAAAAAAAAAAAAAGCAAGCTTTTCTGTAAGACTAGGAATATTAGAATAGCAAAGAAAAATCTTTAATGGCTTACATATAATGCTAGGGTTAAAAAGTATAGGGAACTTGAAACAAGCAAATAATATTGTCATGTTATAATATAGTGAATTCTGCACCAAGATAGGCAGCATCTAAGAAGAATGACATATACCCCTTTGAACTTTGCCAAGACATGAACTGTGTTCTTGATGGTGTCTGTAGGGATGATGTCTGAATTATCTCCATGCAAGTAATCCTTTTTGGAGCTCAGAGTAAGTTGCACTGACGTTGCCACCTCTTTAATGGTGTGATATTTTCCATCTCGCTGAATGTGGAGAACTTTGACCATATCCTTCCCATAGCCAGTTCGGACAAACTCCACCTCATCATTCTGCAATGACAACACAGGCATTTTGAAAGCTAACAGTCAACTGCAATTTCTTAAGCATTAACTGTATAGTGTAATAATAAAAAGTGAGAGTCAGAGTATTTAGAAAGTAAGATCATGTCCTACCCCTGAATAATGGTAACTTGTATGGAGAGACAGAATCACAAGAAACAGATGAAAATATATCAGGTGGGCCTGAAGACAGACAGGTGGATGACTTTCTTGATAATAATTGATGATAATAATAACAGTACCTCCCAGGCCAAACTATTTACTCTATCCTATTTAATCCCTGCTAACTTAATCCTTATAATAGCTCTATGAACTAATATTATTCCCATTTAACAAAGGGAGAAACTAAGGTTCAAAGAGTTTAAGTGTCTTGCCCTACTTCACATAGGTAGTAAGGAACAGGGCCAAAGATTCACACTCTAAATTATGTACTCATAACTACTATGTCAACTGCCTTTCTTCTATAAAATTATTCCACTAACTAACTAACTGGCTAACTGGAAATAATTTTTTTTTTACTAAAAATGTATAATTTTTACTAACTAGCTAACTGGAAATAATTATATTCCCTCATTTATAGAGAGTGGTATTTTGGAGAAAATTCCTTATGATCAATAAAAACAATTTGAAAATTGCTTCTTCCACTTGCTGCAGGGATGAAGAGTAATTAGTATCAGGGTCCAGACTACTACGTTCACAGGTGCAGAGCCAGAGCCATTTGGCTGCAGGGAAAGCTATACTATTAGCAAAGAGGCATTTAATAAAAGCCTGGTGATTGATTCATTAGCACCTTTGTCTGAAGCTGGAGTCCTAACTAGTGAATTCATCCATCTCCACTGCTAAAGTCCACTAGACTTGTCCCTGGGCTTTATTGATGTTTGAGAGAAGCTGCAAGAGGGAGCAGAGGGACAGAAAAGCCTATCCAATTTAGCATCAAAATTGAACATTAAAATGGTAATGAAATGAGGTCACAAAAATAAAAATAAGTCAAAACAACATGCAGTGAGAGTCTGGGGAGGACCACGAAGAAGGACCCTCACCTGCTGATTGCTTGCAGGAGACATGCTGTTATGCCAAGGGTTGCCTAAAAATCTGTATGCATAAAAAATCACCAGTTCCTCTGGGAGGACAAATTTTAAAATACTAGTCACCATCAGAAATTATTTTTATGTTCTTAATCAAAGTGAGGGATGGGAGGCTGTCTTAAATCTTGGTGAGGGAGCCTGGTGGGCATGCTGCTGTGTTGGTCACTGAGCACACCCGAGGGTCTGTGGTGTCTGAACTCCATCCTTCCTCTGTGGGAGGGAAATTTAAGGAATAACTCTTGGGGAGGCCCCTTAAAAACCTTTGACCCAATGTTTGGGGGACTCATCTTCAAGAAACAGGTCAAAAAGAAAGTGGAAAGAATAGACCTAAGCCATCCTAATAGGAACTATAATACCGACAGGGAAAGAGGGCACTGCTGTGTGGCTGTAGCAGATTTGGAATCAGACAAGGTCCAAACTCTGCCTTGCCATTTATAGTTCTGTGGCTGTGACAAACAATTTGATGTCTCTGAGCTTCAGTTTCCCCATTTGTACAAGTGCGGATAACCACCCCTACTTGTTTGTAGGGTTTCTGGAGAGTGTGAAAGGCCTGGCTCAGTTCCCAGTACCCGGTGGTACAGTGACGCCTGCCCCAATGGCAGTGGCCACGTCAGGCCTGGCTGTGGAGCAGCAGAGAGAGCAGAGGGGACCTTGAACAGGGCATCAGTGTTTAGGGTGGGGAGCACTGGCGCAGCAGCAGGAGGAAGACTCTGGCATGTCTTGAGCCATGAGGGATTCTACGTGGCGGGGGAGGGAGGCACCTGCCTGGCTTGGGGCCCCTGGATGGGTGAAGATTCAGGACCAAAGGTCTCTGAGATCATTCATCATCCCCCATACACAGTAGGACTTGACAAGTCTTACTCCTTGGTCCCATCCCCTGCCACTACATACCCAAACTACAGGTGGTGAAAGCCAGTGGTCCCTATGTGATACACAGAAAGAGTAAATGGCACCCTTCTTGTTCCCACCCCTGTTCACCTCTCCAGCTTCATAACTTGCAACATCCTATCTCAAACCCACTTCAGTTATTCTAAACTAACTGTGGCTGCCCAGCTCTGCACACTTTTTCTGCCTGTGGGCCTTTGAATTTGTTATTTCTTCTTTCTTGAATACTCTTTCTCTTCCTTGCTCCCCAACTACCAACCTCTTCATCTGCTTAACTTCCTCTAGTCCTCTTTCAGGTCTACATGTCATTTCCTCCAGGTAATCTGCCCCAGCCCTTCAGGTCCTCAGGTTGGAGTAGGTGTCCCTTCGGTGGTACTCTCAAAATACACTGATTGCCTTATTAGAGTCTTTATCAAATTGTATTGCAATTGCCCCATTCTGTGTCTCATTTGTTCAGAAATGGTAAAATACAAAAGCCAGAACAAATTCTATCTTAGTTGTTGTCATGGCAACCCCAATACTCAGCACAGGGTCTAGAACATAAATAGGTGCTTAAATGTGTTGTGAATGAATGAATGGTACACCAGCACCTCCACTCTCGCACGATGACAAGGACTAGTTAGTGAAAACACCCAAAGATTTCAACAGGAAGAACCACTTGGCTCAGATCCCAATCAGGAAGTCCCTCTTCCTGCGAAAGTGGGGCATGCACCTTCTGCCCTCTTATTGCTACAGCCTGGAGATGACAGGCACAGCTGGCTGGAGAACAAAGTCCCAGGGGCAGAATTGACTGTAAAATCAGCAGTGCAGCACAGAGCGTTCATAGTGCTGATGAGACCAAGTGCTCTAGCACAGAATAGCCACCCCAGAGTTCGCAGTGACACACACGGCTTAGCGAGCTCCTGACTAGGCCTTGGCACTGAGTAAAGCTTGAATAATCAAGTTTATTGAGCAATGAGTCCAAACAAAAAGGACATAACCATCTGAGAAGCTGAAATGGTAACAGTGTGGGATGCCCAAGAGTCTCTCAGCAGACCTGGCAGAACAAAAAATGGTCCAGAGCAGAACTGAGGGTGTTCTCAATAAGGCCTCCTCTAGTTCTAATCAGAGAAACCAGCCGTGGATGCCAGAACCCTACAGAACAACACACGGTATGGTGCACAGATACATTTCCACGGTCCCTCTACAGTAAAGTGCAGAGGGCCCTCCCATCTGCAAGGTGGGCTGGGGGCTGACAGGATGGGCTCTGGAGTCGAGCAGGCGAGGTGTGGAACTTTGTACTGCCACCTATGAGCGCTGGGGATGGAGGCAAATTTCTCCACGTAAAGTGGGAATAATAACAGTGCCTGTCTCTCAGGATGGCTGTGAGGGCCACATAAGGAAAAACATAACACTTGGAAAGTGTCTGGCAAATAGTAACTGTTCAGTAAATGTTACATAATTATCACTGACAAATAGTAATTATATGTCCAAGTTTGCATCAAAAGGCCCTCCCAATTACCATTAGTGATCAATACCCCGACTGCACACCAACCAGGAGCCAAGGTGGCTGGCATCAAAGGTGCTGCTATGATGAGGCCTACTGCTGCCTTCACGCTTTGGGTGTCCTTCCTTGGGCCTGTGCGGCTTGAGGAAGCCAAGTTCCAAGAGGGAACTCAATTACCTAGAGGATCAGCCGGACAAAACATCTTTACCTGGCTCTACACAAGAAAAGTCACCTTTTCTTAGATATTTCTTGAAAAACAGATGGATAGAAGTCATTATTTGCCTACAAGTTATGCTGGAGAGAACTCTGAGACTTTAAGTTGATCTTGTGAGTTTTCAGTTCTGCAACGAGATAGTGGTTGTTCTCTTATTTGCAGGCGATACTGAAAGTAATGTAGGTTGTCACTACCAGTCAAGGGGTCTTAGACTGTAGTCTGTTAATCTCTAGAAGGCCCAGTGAACAGATCTGAGGTGGAAAAATATTAGGAAAGGTATGGGAAAACTTTAATAAATTTAAATTTTAAAATGAATAGAATTTTTTCTCTTAAATGTTAGAAGAACTTCTGTAAGCATTGTCTCTACTCTCCATAACAGAGTGAAATATAAAAGTGCTCGCTATCCAGGACCCATCACACATGTATACATGTCAATTTCTTTGCAGTGTGCTATGAGAGATGGAAGAGCTGGGCGTGGAGTTAACCTTTCTCTGTCTCTGGAATGTGCTGGAGAAATTCTTCCAATTCTCTGCCCAGGTTTTTTTCTCTGCTTGGCTGTTTGCTTGGACATTTTTGAACAAAAAAATTTCAGAGAAAAATGCTAAACTAATGTGAGAAAAAGGGGCAATCATATGAAAAATCTGAAAATCACTTCTGTGAATCTTAACAATATATATGCACAAAAACAATAATAGTGACTAATAACCTTAGAAGCCTGTATTTTTGGGGCTGCCTAGGATCTACTAAATGTCAGATGGGAAAATATTGATATCTAGTAGAAAATGTCATGTTGCTTTAAGCTGTTGAGTGGCTTATTTTTTCTGTCAATGCCTTGAGTTATGTTCAAAGTGTGATTCTAAAGGGATTTGTCAAGCACATGTTTTAAGAACAGTGTAACAGCTCATACAAGTAATTATGGTAGAAAGAAAAGGTGACCTGTTACTTAATGAACACTCCATTTATAGGTGCTTGGTTATTTTCACATTTCTGCCTATTACAAAGGAAGAGAAACTCATCACTGAATGCCAGAGGAAATGCTACTTTTCTCGCCAGAGTGTTTGCAGCAGCATCGACCTTAGGGCAAGGAACTGGAACAAGGCCCTCAGGACCCTCAAGGGCTGGGGCAGGAAGCCCAGAGCAAAGCAGTGATAGGGTCCTCCAAAAATGCATTGGAAGAAAATTTTACTGAAATGCAAACACTGAAAGATATCTGTTCCCTGATGTATAAATTTGAAAATAAAAATATTAGTATCAACCATTTAATGAGGGTTTGCTATGTCAGGAAATTTGCATATGTTATTTCCTTTAATCCTTTACAAGAACCCTGTGAAGTAGGTATTATCATCCAAGTTTGATGAAGGAAGGTCACACAGGTATTAGGTGACAGAAGCAGAAGGAGAAAGCAGTCCCTTTGTCCCCAAATGTCATATTCTTTGGCCCTACAGCAGAGCCCCTAAACCCCCTTGATGGCCAGCCATTCCCCTCACTAGGGAGAGAAAGGAAACATTCTGATCCCAACAGGAGGGAAATGGCCATGTTAGTGCACAAACTTGCACTTCTACACCATTTTTAAAATTTCTACCCAATGGGACCTACATTATCTTATCTATTCCTCACAAAATCCCTGTGATTTGGTAGAAAGGAGCCCTATTTTAAAATAAACTAATTCAGAGATGGTAAGTGAGTTGCCCAAAGGCACACAGCTAACAGGCAGACTGGTATAGTGGAACGAGTCTGCTGAGACTGAAGAGTCACATTCTACTTACATGATAGTAGGCAGAACTCACCCAACACTGAGAGAGGCCCCCCTGCCCAAGGCATCAGTTTTTCTAGCACTTCAGTCATTTTTTTTAATTATAGGGGAATTCTAAGCTGAGATGGATTCTGTGTTTACAGCAGGGGAATTTAAGCCATGAAGTAGTAAGGAAAGTCAAAGGGTGACTGTTGGAGCAGGATGAAAATTCAGCTCCATGCCTTCAACAGCAGGACACTTGAATTGCATTGAATATTGACTTTTATCTGCATTTGAAAATGTGCTTATTTATGGTCATTCGAATCATAACACCAAAGCATTGTTTTTAGTCCATCTGCAAAGATAGATAAATAACCGAGTCATGGAAGAAAAGGAAACAAGGTGGGAAGAAACCAGCATTTAATTAGCACCAGTACTGTGCCAGGGGCTGTGCACACAGGATCTCACTGCATTCTGATGGTACTCTGTGGAGGTACACATCACTAGTTTCACCTTGAGAAAAGGAAGCTGACACTCATGAGGTAAATAGTTTGGTCAAAACCATGTGGCTGAAGAGAAGCAGGACCAGGCATGGAATCCAGGTCTGCCTGATGAGTTTCACTACACTCAGCTGCCTCCCAAATGTGGCATTACAATGAAGTTCTTTATAATGGGATTTTTACCAACATACCCACTTTTATTAATGTCTCTGATTCTATTTAATTCATTCTAAATTCTACAAAACTCCAAAACAGAAGTTTCTGAACCCTTTATTCATTCAATCCTTACATTCACCTATATTTACATAGCTCCTTTACATAGCATACAGATAAGCACCCTGGGTACGTGCTGGAGGTACAACAGCAAACAAGGCAGATGCTGTTCTGCCCTAATAGAGATTATGCACTAGAACAAACATTTTTGGTACAGAACTCAAAAGTTAGTACTTTAGACTTTGCAGGCCCTATGGGCTCTGTTGCAACTCTTCAGCTCTGCCATTATAGCAGAAAGTAGTTATACCTAATACATAAATGAATGGGTGTCACTGTGTTCCAAGAAAACTTTATTTACAGAAATAGGCAGTGGGCCAGATTTGGGCCACAGGAATTTACTAACCCCTGCTCTCTAAAGAAAGACTAAGAAAAGTAACCAAGTAATTAGAACACATTGTGATAATTTAATTGAAAAATGCAGTGAGCTCTGGGACACCTAAGTCAGATTGAGAGAGATCAAGGATAGAACTGGCATCCACAAAGCCACCTAAATGATGAGTAGGAATTAACCAAATAAGTTTTTCTGGTCCTTTTCCACTTTTTCTGTTTATATTTTCTTTTAACCACATTTCTCATTAACAATTTTTTGTTTTACAAAATGAGTCATTTTGCTTGTCTCATTCCTTTTCATCAAAATAATTCCAGTCCTCCTTTCTCCTGCAACAAGTACATCAATTTTTTTCCTTCAGTCTGTCACATTCTAGATTTTACTCAGTACATCAACAGTCTTGTAAAAGTTTGAACAAAAATAAAGTTGAACTTAAACACACATTTTTGGATAAGTAAACCATACCTCAAAAGGCTATAGAAAATGAATAAACAAAGCCAGCAGCCTGACTCTCAGAGGTCCTCACAGGATGACTGAAATCTGATGAAGCCAACACAGACCAGGGTTTGGAAAAACCCAACTTTATTTCAATCTCAAAAATTTCTCACAGTATAGCTTCAAGGAACATGAACTCACAGCCAAAAATCAAAAGTACACAGGGGTAGCAAGGTATCGTGAGAGTCACAGAGACAACAGGTAGCAAAGTCTGGCCTGCAAAGACAAGGTATTAGAATTACTGACACAAAATATAAGATACTTAGTATTTTTACAGAAATAAAAGACAGATTATATCTTCTTGAGATAGAGTATATTTTCTCTTAAGCAAGAAACAAGAGGCCATTAAAAAGACCAAGTAAATTTGAAAAATAAACCAAACAGAACTTATAGAAATGCATAAGTACATGCATAAGTATAGAAATTAATAAGTACATAAAGAAATGGATTAAATGTAACTGAAGAAATAATTACTAATTTGGAAGAGATAGACTAAGTAACAGGTTAATGTTGCCAAAGAGAGAATTAGAGAACTGGAAGAAAGAGGCAAATAAAGAATCAAGGATTAATGAAGAGCTACAGGGGACAGAATATATGAAAGAGATATTAAGTGTATTAGAAATATACGATACAAAGAACCTGGGGGAGGGCAAAATTTGAAGAGATAAAGACTGAGATTTTTCAATAATTTTGAGAATTATTGGATGAATGAATGTAAACCTTCAACCATACAATCAGAAACCCACTACCAAGTGAGGAACTCTTCCTTGTTCATTATACTTGGCCAAATTACAACAATGTGATTTTTCTGCTATTCTGAGAGGTAATCATGTTGTGAAGGAGATGTGGTATTTTCATAATATTGTACTACTTGGGTTTCAAAAGTGGGTAATTGTGAAAAACATTCTGTCCACTTTCCATATTCTCCATCCACCAAATTTACTGTTTCTTTCTACAACATTCCTTTGATGTTTTCAGTAAAAAACAGAACACACTGGCATCTAGGCTTTAGGGTGATGTGGAAATCTCTGGAGCCCTTCAGTGTCTGGTACAATGTTTAACCCCTAGTGATTGCATAAGGAAGGTTGTTGACTGACAATCAGCATGATCGTATCAGCAACAATGGGAGGTGAGAAAGCTTATTGAAAAGGACATATCTGAAGGACAGTAACCTCTGGATCTAGCAAAAATAATCCTAATAAAAGTGTCCCCCAGCCCAACCACAGGAAGGCCTCAGGTTGTGTAAAACTAATTTTAACTATACCTTTATGGATCATTTAGTGTTTGCCAGGCATTGTGCTAAGCATGTATAATGAGGAGAAAACAGGAATTATTTTATATCCTTTCAACAATTGTTCTTTAGCTTACATAACTGAAAACACCTTGCTTATATTCTCTAAATGCAGCAATGAATCCTAAGCCTGGTGTACTCAGCTATACCACTGTAATGCCAAACAGTATCACAAGATAAGTGAAATTAGTTTTATTTCATGTTAACATAGAAAAGTAAACCTAATGCTATTAAATTTTTTTTTTAATTGATAAAAAGGTTGGGGTTGCTGAAATCCTTTTTTCTAAGTGAAGTAAGACATATATAAAACAAAATGATACCCAGGGAGGAATGGTCAGAAAAATGTTTCTTGGTTCATCAGTTTGGTAGGTTGTGAATCTACCAGATATAGCCTAAGCCTTCACCTGAGGGCAGCGAGTCTCAAAGTTTAGGGTGCATCAGTGTCACCAAAACTTTGTGAAAACATTGATTCCTAAGCTAAGCTAGAAAGATTATGATTTAGTAAGTTTGGGTTCAGACCCAGAATTTGGTCCTTTCTTCAGGAAAATGTGGGCAGATGGTCTAGAACAACCTTCTCAAAACTCTGTCTTAGGACAAATAAAGCCCCAAGCCCTCCCTTTCCTATGAGCCCTAAGAATCCTGAACAATTCCAACTCAACCATAGATGTGGTCCAATTTACAAGGGCCCACTTTGGACTGGATCCCTAAGTGACTCTGATACAGGTCCATAATAAGAAGGGGAATCAGAGTCATAATAATTTACATGCATTGGAAAAATTGCTATTTATTATAACAGCATTTTTAATAATTGATTCAAATTTAATAATTAGTGCACTTAAAAAATCTTTTCATATGCCTATCTACCCCTTCACTCATGTAAAAAGAGAAGGGTCTCACCTTTTTATAGTCGTTATGGTAATGGGCCATTTTCTCTTGGCCTTCAACGTCAGATGTAGTTTCAAGAATGAGAAAGAATAGTTTGGGCAAAACAGATGTTTGTAACATTTTTTATTTGACCTGAACGGTGAGTGGTCAATATGTTTACCTGATTGCATTACAGCCAATTGGACACCAAGTCCTCTTTAAAGTAAAGTGCCACGTTGAGTGGCTACAACCAGGAGGTGGAGAGGATATGTAAACATCTTTGATAGAATACAACTGAATTTGTTCTTACTTTTAAGCAACGCTTTGAATTACCCTTTAGGAACTGTTTCCTTAAGATAGAGAATATTACAACTGATAGACCTTACTTATTACTAAGACATAGATTTTGTCGTTTCTGTTTAATGCATGAACCCCAAGTATTTTCTCTTACTCAGAGAGAGCCAATCATGAGGGAAAAAGCATAAAATAAATCTAATTCAACATCTATCTACCAACATGGAGTTTCCTGTTCAGATTTCATGATGTTCACTCCAAAGAGTTAACTATGCAACCCATTTTTCTCTCCACAACTTTTGATGACTTTGCAAGCTAGTCAACAATTCAATACAAAGGCATCCGGAGTCACGCTGACATGTGACAGAATCATACTATTGCATGGGATTCGTCCCATTCTGAAAATGCCAGAACAGCGAACAGCAGAGGTAACTGGAATCAAATGTCAGGGCCAGCACAGCCTCAGAGAGACTTGAAACTCAGACGCCACAACCTGTGGGGAAAGTTTCTTGCCAGATGATGGAATAAAGGCAACAAATGGAAAATGACAGCAAGACTTCTAAGAGCAACTGTTGCTTTGCTCTTCCTTGGTCTCACTGGGGTCTCAGAAGTGACAACAATATCATGCAGAAATGAAGAAGGTGAAGCTGTGGATTGGTAGGTAAATGATATGTAAAGATTGGTGATTGGTGCATGCAAATAGAAAGCCTGACTACAGAGGCAAACGGGTTCACCGTGAAGCTCTAAAGAAGACTTCCACCCTGCCTCTTGCCCCTTTTAAAAGCAAGGAAACTAAAGTGTGTAAATGGGTCAAACATCCAAACAGAGGTAGGCTTCTGAGTGAGGGAGCTTACCCTGACTGAGAAAAGTTGGGCAGCCCCTCAGGGGCCTGATTCACTGCTCTCAGAGATGAGGCTGGCAGAGCTGACTTCTCTCAGTTGGCAATTTCCTTTAATTGCATTGTGGCCTTCCTGGCAGAGCCCTTCCAACAGCCTTTCAGAGCAAAGGGGAGAAGGCAGATCAGTTTTTTTCTGACACTGGAGCTCTCCAGAGAATGAGAAAGCGGGCTTATGGCACAGGGCACTGTTTGGGTCATCAGTTTATCAGGCAGCACAGGCAGCAGTGTCGCAGCCGTGGGTCACTGGCCTCCTGCACAGTGTCAAAGGGACTGACTGCAGCACTGCCTCACGGTCGTGGATTCTCTCCTGAAGCTTTGCTCACCTCTTCACTCTTCAGTCAGGATGCTCACGTTTGCCATTATGGCTGCTGTCTCGCTTTGTGTAAACTCCAGGCTCGAGAACACAGATATACTAACTTACTCAGACTCTCAGAAGACACTTTCTGAGCTCATACCAGGCCCTGCGCTGAGTTCTGAAAATAAAAACTTGAACAAAACATAGTTCTTGCCCTCCAGGAGCTCACAGTTATGTGGTAAAGCACGGAGTGGGCTTGGGGAAGCACAGAGTCCAAAAGGCTTATCTGAGGAATTTGTCATGAGCTACATTTTAAGAACATTTTTATGAGTTAGAAAAACAAGGGAGATGTAAGGGCACCCTGAGCCACTGAAGGAGCAATGAGGAGACCCAGAGGCAAGAAGCAATAGAAAAAGTTTGGAAGCAGTTCAGTACTGCTGGCGCTTCAGGAGAATGTGGGGGAATGGGCAGGAGGTAAGCTTGGAGAGATAGGTAAGAGCCAAGTCATGAAGGACTTTGTGTACTTAACTTCAGTCCACTTGACCTTAAAAGGGAGCTACTGAAGACTTTAAGCGGGGATGTGATGTGGTCAGATTTGCAGTTTAGAAAGCCTACTGGCAGTACTGTGATAACTAGCTGGATGGGGACGACTCTAGAGCCGTGGAGACCAACAGCACTTTTGCAGCAGTATAGGAGGGAAGAGGTGTGGACTCGAGTTAAAGAAGTGGTAGTGGGAATAGAGAGGGAGCACGCTCTGAGAAGATGGTAGTGGATGGGCTAAGGATCACAGGAGAGAGAAACAAGCTCAGAAAGACTTTCAGGCTGCTGGTTCCTGCAACAGCGTAGATATGCTCCCTCATAGCAGGGCATGAGCAGATTTGGAGCAAACTATAATACACCTGCTTTCAAAAATATGGAATTGGTACATCTTTGCATTTTGGCCCATCTGGAGCTCAGCATAGAGGCCTGGGCTAGGAACAGATCCAGGAATCTTCAGAATATAACTGGAAATGGTCACCCAGACAAAATGTTTAAAAGCACTCGTTCTTAACTGGTGTGCATGGCATATGGATGGTTCACAAACTCTTCACTGATGGGCACCAAATTGTGATTGAGCTATAAAATTTATTTTTTACAACAACTGAGTGGACATATTACTTAGCAATATCCACCAGTGAGAATGCTGAGCTGAGCAGACAGAGAGACACAGTCTCAAGCTGCTATACTCACTATGAGAGTTAAAGAGCAGAGAGACATCAGGTCAGTACCAAAGAATAATTTCACATTTTCTGCCATATGTGTAAAAAAGCATGAGACGGGGCAAACAAGGTTTTGAATAAATAAAAGCAAAAGACTGAAGAGAATAAACTGAAGAATGTGAAGGTTTTATGGGTCGTGTGAGATGTTGGATGGTCACAGTGAATGCATTACTATGTTCAGCTCACTGTGAGTATTTGAGGGCTAACTGTGGGGTTCATGCTATTAGAGAATATTTGGCTAGACCAAGGCAATTTTGCCCTCCAGAGACTTTTGACAATGTCTGGAGACATTCTTTATTCACATGCCTGCGAAGTACTACTGTCATCTAACAGGAAGAGGCCAAGGATGGTACAATGCACAGGGGAGCCCCCACAACAAAGAGTGATTTGGCCCAAATGTGAATAAAGTACATTGAGAAACTCTGGGCTAGGTGATCCAAGATTGCCCGAATGTCACATGGGCCCAACCATCTTTCCTCCCTGCTGAGATACCCAAAGGAGATATACAAACAGGAGACAATAGGAAAGAAAGCAAAGTGCTGACTTAATGGGCTGGTCTTGGCACTGAATCAGTCAGTGCAGAGCATCTGATAAACTGAGCTGAAGAATGTCGCTCAGGCCAGAGGCTCAAGGGAGCCTCTATCTACCCTGAAGCCCAAGCCCAGCTCTCAGACCCAGCCAGCCAGCTGCAGAGAGATGAGCATGCCAAGCACTTTAGGCAGAAGACCAAACACACCCAAGACCTCTCCAGTCCAGGCCTAGGGCATGGCTGTTTTCCGTGGCAGCCACATGGGCTGTGGAGAGCTGTGAGCCATTCTTAGTGTCCATGGACTTCCACTACAGGGACCCCCACCCACCAGGCCAGTTAATGCCTTGGAACATGTCCAGTCAGATTCCCATTTCCTTCTCTGGGAATGGTGAAAAAAGAGGCAAAGAGCTCGAGCAAATCTCTTTCCTTAGACTTAGAGGCCTTCTGTGAAACACAAGTGAAATGATAGATTTAAGTGTTTAACACAGTGGCTGCCTTGAGGGTAGCAGTCAATACATGTTAGTAATTCATCATTATTTCCTTTGTTAGGTTTACCTTTTATAAGTTACCTAAGCGGCAAGACAAGGAAAGTAGGGAGACTGGGTTAGAGTACCTATACCTGGACTCCACAACCAGAAGCTGGAGGCGGGGTAAACAACTCATGAATTCCACCAAGAGTGTTTTGGGAAGGACATTACAACAGCTCTATGAAGCAGATGCCTCCAGGGTATGTTACAGTTAATCATTCATTTAAATCACATAAAATGCATAAAACCGAATCCAAAGCTTCTGAAAGATTTTAGCTGTTTACCTACTCATCCCCCAGTCTTAGCAACTTGAAGTAAGCTAGCTCAGAATCTGATCCACCCAATGGGAGCCTCGGGGGACAGGGCATCAGACTCCACAGCAATGCCGACTTACTGGTACATTTGGCTCCATGTCTGATGATATTGCCAGGCAAGGTGTAGACTACTGGAGTCTTCTGGCTGCCAAACTGCCAGTTTGCTCAGTACTTACTATCTTTTTTTTTTTTAATTTTTTTTAAATTTTTTAATTTTTTAAAATTTTGGTATTATTAATATATAATTACATGAGCAACATTGTGGTTACTAGATTCCCCCCATTATCAAGTCCCCACCACATAGTACTTGTTATCTTATCCCTCCAGTGGAAATAGGAAGAAGAGCCCTCTCCTGTTGCACTGCAATGTAGATCTGTGATCGATACGCATGAGTTACGGGCTGTTTGTGCTATGGTGGTGATAAGTGATGGTGGCCCAAGTAAAGGGTCCCACTTGGTCTTCCTTTTAATTAATAATTTTCAAAAAGTAGATGGAGAGAGCTAGGGCTCTAGTTTGAGGCCCTAGAACTAACTTGTCTGAATGAAGAGCAAACCTGCTCTCCTCCCCTCAGGCAGTGAGCTAACCAGCCAGAGACCTAGGTCAGTAGGCCTGCTGGCTCAGTGTGGACAGTCTCCCAATGTTCTAGGCACCATCTGCTGTTTGGTGACAAGATACTGCTTTCCAACAAGGGGTGATAAGTAAAATTGAACAATAATTAACATCTAGCTACACTCAGGTATGCATTTCCTAGTAATACCTTATAGAGAAGGGAACAAATTAAATGACTCAACACTTACAATGTGCTGGGCCTTTACATATATCAACTAACTTAATCCCTATAACAATACTGTGTTAGACTACAGCACATGATATCTGAGCATTTGCTCAAAATGTGCAGAGAGCTCTCATTGTGTGTGTTAATATTCATTTTATTCACCTGCCATTAAGACCAGACTTCAGAGCCAAGTTACAAAGTCAAAACTTACCTGTAGGCTG